AACATAAACATTCCTTGTACTTTATCTCACATCGGTCTTGTTAATGAGAATACCTTTTATCCTAATATGTAGTTGAATTTATATACAAACGAAATTTCTAACTGCTTGGGTACTCAGTGATAAGTCGCTGGGGGGGGGGGCGTCAAGTCTAATTGCTAACTGTAAAACGGTGAACATTATAATCAAAATATCCTAATAAAACATAATTTCTTTTATAAAATGCAGTTTATACATTTCTAATATAATTTATCCTTCTGGTAGACTTACTTACGTCTGATTGTGTGTGCTTGTCCTAACCTACTGTTTGTGTATTGCGTTGCATTAATGTTTCTTCTTATATATCTTCTTACCTTCTTCCGTTTTGAAGACGAAACCCAAGATGACTTAATGTTTAATGTTTGATATTTTAAACAAACAATGTGCTAGATATCAAGGGACATATAGCCCTTTGGTAAATAATCATGGTAAGAGTGGTTTAAAGAAATTTCCAGAACTTAAAAACTGTTTCACTTTTCAATAAACCCCTGATGTGTATATTTTTTCTACTATTTTTCTACTACTATTCTACTTTTTTCTAACAATGGTAGAGTAATTTATCATTAACTATTCTGGCGATGTGACTGAAATAGCCAAATCTACATACAGCGCATGTTAACGAGCCTCTCGACATATCTACCTTTTCGTGATCTTAGCTGACTTGACATTGTTTTGCCAAACTTACCGAATTCTTATTGACTCACAAAGGTCAGTTTTCCCGCAAAAAGGCACACAACCTCGGCCTTGTTTGCGCGTTCCTTTTAGTTTTCTCGCCGTCGGAATAGATGGACGCTCGCCGACTACCAAAGGCGTAGACGGTTGCAAATACATTTCTTTGTTATTTTCGTGCACTTGGGTTGAATGTATGGGTAATGAATGTGGTGTGTGTGCACCAGGAGAGAGAGAGAGAGAGAGAGAGAGAGAGAGAGAGAGAGAGAGAGAGAGAGAGAGAGAGAGAGAGAGAGAGAGAGAGAGAGAGAGAGAGAGAGAGTTCACGATTTCATCACTTAAATGTATTGAAGACGTAACAGTGTTTATAACGCCATATATAATTTCCAGATTCATGATTACGAAGAAAACCAACGAAGGGACAAAAGATTTTGAGGATCTTCGACATTTTTTTAACTACTGAGGAGCTGTTTAAAGACCTGCAGTTATAACTCTTGCAAAAGGTGCTGGATCCTCCTATTTGGACTTCAGGGAATTACAAAACACGGTTCTTTTGTCAGCCATTAATTCAAAATAGGAATTCCTTTTTTTTTGTGTGACGCACAGATGGCGGAGTGACAGAAACTACAAAGCTTGTTGAATTATCAAACAACACTACAAATCCCTTTTTGCCTTTTTCTCTTTATTGACGATGAAGATTTCCCCTTTGCAAGAGAATTTCTTCGAGTCTTGCAATCAATGAGATCTGAATATGGAAACGAAAGCGTTCAGTTCAATGATAGCTTTCTCATCTTGCAACCTTGCTGTCCTGCTCCCAGAGGACGGTAACCACGGCCATTACTTGCACGCAGGGGGTAATTTAGAAGCAGACAGACAGTCTACTACTCAAAACATAAGAATAACCATTGTAGCAAATAGTATAAAGTTAATTATGTTTATTATTATATATTATATTATCATTAGTATGCTGGATAATGTACCCGACTCTCGTTACTAAAGGTTCATCAGCCTGCTACAGCCTACTACACAAAACATAAGAATAACCATTGTAGCAAATAGTATAAAGTTAATTATTTTTATTATCATATATTATATTATCATTAGTATGCTGGATAATGTACCCGACTCTCGCTACTAAAGGTTCATCATCATTTGTATTCCCCTCAGGTAGGAGGTGAAGAACTGCAGTGGTTATACCTTGCTTTTTAATACATGGTTTTATACTGTTGTTGGAACATTTGGTATATATCTATAAGCTGTTCAAGAGTATGAGAGGAAAGGAGAGAGAAGGAAGGAAGGCAGGGAAGGAGAGAGAAGGAAAGAAAGGGGAAGAGGAGAGAGAAAGGAGAAAGGAGGGAGGAAAGGAGAGAGAAGAAAGGAAGGAGGGAGAGGAGAGAAGACAGAAAGGAGGGAGGACAGGAGAGAGAAGGAAGGAAGGCAGAAAATTACCCGATATTTGATCCTAAACCCATTTTTTGAAATGATTAAAAACACAAATGTCCTTAAATGTTTATAGCCACTGTGAAAAAAATATAAGATGTAGTGATATGATTACATACTCTGTATCACTTTATGGAACATTAAATCAATGTTTTAAAATCTGAAATATAAGCAAAGCAGAAACAGAAATGCAAAATTTATTGTCAGATTTATTATGAGTGGCGATTAACATGTGATTTGTGACGTCACAGGCTAATAAACCTCTTTTTCACCTGATTTTATGTCAGCTACATTTTTTTTCTTTTTATTTCCTTCTGTTGCTAACTACGTATATTGTTCATTTTAGATTACGGTT